CAGCAGGAAAAGGGGAATTTCCCAAATGCTAGGCCTCTGCACAGGTGGAGTTAGGAGCTCTGCTTGGTAGAAGACAATCCCTGTTCCACTAGGTGCTGAATGAGTTCCTGGAACTTTTGCTCAGGACATGCCCCGTTTCTGTTCCTGGGAAAGAACAGCTGAATGAAGAAACAGCTTGACTTCACTGCCATGGGCCTGGGAATCCTGGCCTGTGCTAACAATAGCAATAGCTGATGCTTACATGGTGCTTTATACTCTTGGCAGTGTTTATCTAACTAATAACTGTGAGACAGTTAAGGAAGGTGTTATTATTCCTGTTTTGCGGATGAGGCAACTGAGGTTCCGGGGATTAATGGGCTTGCCTAGATCACAGAGTTAATCTAGAGGAGAGCCAGGTCTGAGATAGTCCTAGTTTTCTAAATCTAACTACTTCATTTTCCCCATAATGCTCTGCTGCTTTACCTGAAGGTAGAGAAGGAATCCAGGCGTAGATCTGTTATAGGAGGATAGATATATATCAAGACCATCATGCCTGGCTCCTGGAGCCAAATACAGATGGGAAGATGCTATTTGGAGCCGTTCCAATGGGATTTTATTTCCTTGGGCCAGTGGTGTCATGTGGGTGGCTCAGGAAGCATGGAGATTTTCCTGTGTTCTTTTGACCTAATCTTCACTGGGTAGTTTCTTCATCACAAAAAAATACTCATTAATCGTGACAATACAGTTTTTGATTTGGAGAAAGTATTAGAGAAACAAGAAATAAACTGGTGTTAAAACTTCACTAGGTGTTTGTTCTTGATACTTTTAATACCAATGAGTTTTTGATGAACGGATCGTTTTGTAACTTCTTGGGTCGTCTCGGTGGCCTCAGAGTTACAGAAGAAACCTGGCAAGATGTGGATGGACCTTGGCCATGTATTTGCCAGGGGATTCGTTGGCCTGGGAAGCCTGGGCGCATGAGTTACTGTGTGGTCTTCCCCTTTAGAGCTGCCAACTTCAGGAACTTCACCTTCATCCAACTGAGTGGAGAATTTTCCCGGGGAAAGGGACTCGATGTCGGAGCCCGCTCCTGGAAGGGAAGCAACGTCCTTCTCTTTTTCTGTGACGTTGACATCTACTTCACCTCGGAATTCCTCAATACGTGTCGGCTGAATACCCAGCCAGGTAAGGGCGTGTGGAGTGGGTTCTCTTTCTCTCTCTCAGGGTGGCATTTAGCTCTGTCACACTCACATATCATTCTCTTTGCAATTCACTCTGATGTCCTGCTCCCTAATCAGCCTTATTTACCTGAGCGACAAAGAAAAGGAAAATCATCTGGTTTAATTTCTCCTGTGATGTCACAGTGTGGGCCTGTCAGTCATCACAATTCTGGGACTCTTCGTCCCAAGTTCATGTTTATAACCTCTATTCCATTTTCAACTGAGAGGTTGGCTTTGGTGAACATCCACAGGAAAAAGTGTGATGGGGAGGACATGACATGGAAAACCTTCCTGAAACCAAAGGGAAAGGAGTAGCTGTGAGAAGGTACCAAGGGAGGAAGGGCTTTTTGCGGAAATAACCCACAATATGAAAACTATTTTCATAGAATTTGACTCATAGGCAAGACTGATATTCAGCTGATAACTACTGGCATGGGTATGTCAGTTGTTAAAATATTGAAATTCTTCATGTAAATTGATAAAGAGCAATTGCCCTGGTCTCCCTAAGTCTGTGCCTGCTGCCCTAAGTCACCCAGGTCTCTGGCATCCCTTTAGACAGCCCCACGAGCCAGCAAATAAAGGGTTAATGTCCAGTAGAGCAGAGGGCACCAGGACTCTCTTTCACACCCACTCCAATTGGTCTTTGCTTAGTGCCAGAACCACTGACTGTCAGTATTTTCAATATCACTCCTGTGATAAGAGGTCAGAAATAGTAGAGAGTCTGTCCATCTGGTTTACCTGGTACAGAACTTCTAAGATCTATTTTAGACTTGAGTGAAGAGAAAAGGAAGAGTGGATGCAAATATTTGGGATGTTTCAGAGGGCTGAATATAAATGAACAAACCTAATAGTTTTTTTTCCTTTTAAGCCTGTTTCTTTAAGGAGATGTTTGTTTTCTGCTTTTCAGGGAAGAAAGTATTTTATCCAGTCCTTTTCAGTCAGTACAATCCTGGCATAATATACGGCCATCACGATGCAGTCCCTCCCTTAGAACAGCAGCTGGTGAGTAATTACTCCGCAGGTGCCTTTGTGTGATTCTGTTTCATGTCTTTCATTATCAGGGGCACCTGACCATGAGTAAAGGTGAGTGGAAATCTGTGGATTGATTCCCACTGTAATTTTTAAGTTTGGCCAGACATTCTGGCCTTTGCTTTCAGTGCCTTGTTGATTAAACTTGTGTGCAGTATTTAAAAGTGGAAAATAAATAGGAACGGTACCTTACAGAAAGGTAATTTCACACCTTCATAGTTTTCTTCTGTGTTTTTTGGAAGCTAGTTTATTGCATTGTGGATGCAGCACATTTTCTCTTTATTATTACAAAATCCTGCAAAGTAAGAAAGATGAGATTTATGTTCCCATTTGACAAATGAAAACCAGAAGTCAGAAAGCAGTGGGTCACTCCGGGGCACACAGCAAGTGAGTTATCGGGGGAGCAGGGACTAGATCCAAGGCCCTTCTCATCATGCCACATGGATAGTGGAACCACACAGCCACCAAGGAGCTCTGTAAGCTGAGATGTCTCTTCGCTAGTGGTGGCAGGTGTTCTGTCCATCAGAGAAGCAGTGCAGGCAACAGGCAGCTGCTGAGAAAAGCCAGAATAGGGTCTCTGTACCACACGTTGGCATGCCCCTCTGCGACTACGTTTCCCATGATTGTTGTCACTCCCCAAGTTGGGCTGTGACCTTTTCCTGCAGAGAGAACAGCTAGGCTCGTCTAAAGCTGTGTTCTGGCTCAGGCTGAATCTTAGGGGAGCATCTGACCTGGGGAGGTCTGTTTTTCATTGCTTCTCTCTTCTCTTGAGGCAAAGTCATGTTTCTTCCCACTGAGTACATTGTAGGCTGAGGAAAAGAAATTTGCTGTGTGAATGTAAAGATGCGATAGGACTAAGTCGCTCATTCTTCTGTGCGGTGGGAAAGTAAACAGATTTTCATTGAAAACTTGTGTTTTATGAAATGCTTTTGGAGGACGCATTCTGTGTTTAAGCTTCTAGAAGTAGCAAAACCTGTTTCTCCAGCCATGTTCTGTGTCCCCTTCCAATTAACCTCTGGCAGTTGATGTAATGATCTGTTCCAGAAAGTTTCAGCTTGGGTTCCTTCAGGTTGGACAAGGTTTATTCCTCACCCATATCTGAGCACAGTTTCACTTGAGACCCAAGCCATACAGTACTGTGGTGATATAGTTTTCTCTTCCCCCAGTGAAATTCTACTACCACAGATATGCTGAATACTTATACATAAACACAGCAAGAGGTTTTCGTTCCCCTAAAACAATCTTTTTCTGCTTTGGGGCAGTATCACCTTCGTTGAGACAGAAAAAGCTTCTTATTTCCTTTCTGTAAGAGTTCTAAGCTTTTAATAGGGTTTGTGGGGGAAATGAGGTACAACATTTATTTTCTTTCAACCAATCAGAATAAAAGTTCCTCTTTTTTTAAATGAAGTACCACTTTACATTTGACATCAAATGTTTTTAATGTTTTGGCTTCAAATTCATAATGCACTTATTTGCTTGCAAGGAATTTTGTTCATTTCACAGTTTAAAAGTTTTATCCTTTTATTACCATTCCTACAAGGAAGCAGGTACCACAGATACGTAGGGAAGCCACAAGTATGATGCAGTTAAGCCAGTTTCTCAGATCCTCAGAATTACTGGTCGAGCCAGAAACAGAACTCAGATTGCCGTGTCCATAGCTGGAACTTCTGAATTAGCCGGCAACCTTTAACATTTACTTCTAAATATAACTTAGACCTTTCCTAGTCCACGTAAGTCTGATCCTTTGGGGTTCGGTATTTATCCAGAGAAACACAGCAGTTGTCTCTGAGATGAAGGGATCTCCGTCCAAAAAAAGGAACTTTGATTATGTTCTTGATTATGTTCTTTACTGGATGAACCATTTCTTGAGCACTTGCTGCCTATGGGGAATTAGTCTAGATATTAGTGGAGGAGTTAGAAGAACTGAAACAGTTTCCCATACTCAGAAATGATTGCAGGATTATTTCACTTATTCTCTTATTTTTCATAGACTTGCCCAAGATCACACTGCCAACTAATAGCAGAGCTCAGGCCAAAACTAGGGTTTCCTTACTCTAGTGCAGTGGAAATAGATTTGCTTAGGATCTAGATAAGAGCTGAAATGTAAAGGAAATGACTTGACAGAAATTCCAAGGTAAAACATCAGGCTACAGAAACTAATATACTGGAGATAGAATGTGTATGAGCTGAGAAGTTCTAAACTAAAAAATAATGATTACCGATGGACAAATTAGGAAAGATTTCCTACCAAGAGTTCATTTTGGTTCAGTCTGGAAAGATGTGATGCACATATATTAATACATACTTGATAGCCTTCCCTGGAATGCATCAGTATTGAAGGTGAGGGGAGAACATAGATCCATGATGTAGCTGTAACTGAAGTTACTTACGTATGTAAACAAAAGACAGCTTTTCCAACAGGCTGCAAACATGGCCTCATGTTTATTACCTCTGGCTATTGCCACTGTTGTTTGGTAATATTTTGCCTGCAGACAAAAGCAAGAAACCAAACTCGTGATTTTTTTGCGTGTGTTCAGACTACTTGTTTCTTTACTTGAGTACAGACCATTGGTAATAAGTAGTAAGTGAAATCGTGGGATTTTATGCTATTATTAATTTTTTGAGTTTTAAACCAGACATAAAACTTGTGGATGCTTTAATGTAGAAACAGCTCTCTAAGAAAGGAATGACTCTAATTTCACTAATTATTAACTTTAGACATTCCCCTTTTCTGCTTCTAGCCTTGTCGGTTCGCGCTGGGGCCTTGGCAGGAGCCTCTTAGCACTTCTTTCTTTAGTTCTTTCCCTTCCCTATACTTCAGTCTTTCCTTTATCCTCGGCCAGAGATACATTTCCAAAATGCAGATTGATTCCTTTGAAAAAATCTTTTATGGCATAAAGGCAGTGGTGTGCTTGTAAATGTTTGACAACCCATTCTCTGAAAGGGGCGGGGCCCTGATCCATAGCGTTTGCCATTTTCTGTAGTGTCAGTCGCCTGGCGTGTTTCAGGCTCCTGATTTGCTGTCGCTGACAGCGTTGGGAAGTGCCTTGCACAGTCCGGCTGAACTGGGCCTGGCCGGCTCCAGCACAACTCTGCAACCTTGATTCCTTGTTGGGATTAACTGCCCTCCACAGACTGACTCTAAAACTGATTACAGAGAGAATGTTTGCAAACCCCAGCACCTGGCACATGACGCCAACTCAGTGGATACCCAACCCAGCCTCTCTGCCAAGCAAGCACCCTGCCCAGTGTCTCCTCATCTCTCCTTCCACCTCAGGGCTATCTCCTCACCATTTCTACTGCCCGAAGTGGCCAGTATCTCAGTCTGCCATGCGTCCCACCTGTCATTTAAATTTGATGACTTTGTGCCACTTTGTTCAGTGTGCGAATGGTGTATAGGCTCCTGCCTTCATGCTCTCTCTGATTAAACCCTTCCCTTTCTACTGCCTCCAAAAAGTGTTTTACCACTAACCTGAATTTCCTTTAATTTATAAAAATTGCTGACTGGACATAATCCATCCTTTTATTCTGTTTTTATGTATTCGGGAAGCAGACACTCACTGAGTACCCGAAGTAACATGAATAAATGCCACCCACACAGCCTTTCGTAAGCCAGCACTGTGCCCACGTTATCTCATGTAATACTTGGGAAGGGGAAGAGGCTTTATTCTGCTCATTTCACAGATGAAAAACTGGAAGCTCAGAGGCATAAGTAACTTGCCCAGGCTGCTAAGTGGCGGGGTCAGGAATGCAAGTGCCGCCTGTGTGATAGAGACTGGCCTGAAGATGCCAAGCGGACACATTCTTTGGGCTCAGAGTGCTTCTAGGAGGGTACAGAATCTAGCTTGAGGTTACAGATTTCTAGAACAGAGAGAACCTGGACAATTCCTTGTCCAGCATGATACCCTTCAGAAGCCATTTAATTTTTTTAATGCATATACCAATAAAAGACTTTAGAAATATGTGGGTTAGTACGAATCTTGAAGGAGGTGACATTTGAGTTTATTCTTAAACCAATTATTAGAAAGCTATGGCTCTAGAATACTTTATTTCTCAAGAAATAGAAACTGTCAAAGAACTGTACCTTATCACAGGGCACATGCAGCCTCTGGAATCCTTTGCATTGTGATCCCCGAGCCCTCGGGGCTCAGATAATAAGGAATGGGCAGTGTGGGGTGAGGGAGCACCCAGCCCAGCCACAGAAGCCCCAAAGCTCAGTGTGTCTGCCGCTCATGGACAGGGCTGGCTACATACCTGGCATGGCCCGCCCAGTGCACAATGAAAACACAGGGCACTTGTTCAAAACTTATTAAGAATTTCAAGATGGCAATAGCAGAGCCTTAAACTGAGCCTGAAGCCCTCTCAGCGTGGGGCCTGTGGACTGCGTGGTTTGCATACATACCACTGTTGTTTCTCGTGAATGTGAGAAACTGCTCAGACATGACCTTGATTCTTGGGAGACTCTCTCTTTGTTTAGGGGAAATACTTTGCCTGGGTATTTTATTTTAGGGCCCAGATTCCTTCACAGGCAGTTGGCCAAGTCAGCGCCACTAAACTAGACAGGCGCTGCCTGCCTCACAACACCCAGGATGACCACTTTCCCATGTCTTTAGGGAGAGACACTGATTCGTGCTTTGTGTTTTGGTCCTAATAGAAAATATTGAATCCTGTCACATGAATCGCCTGCAGAGCTGCGGGTCTGGAAACTTCCTGTAGGAGAGTAGTCCTGACAAGTGTCCTTTTGTGGTGTATCTGTGCCCTGCAGTGTCCCGCTGAGGTCTAAGGTAGGGAGAGAAAGGGTGCTATGGAGAGTCGGGAGGAGGCCAGCCCCTGAAAGACATTTTTAAAAACAAGGATAGCACTGGAAAACAGATCAGTGAAATGCAGGACCCCCAGAAGGAGGAGACATTTTCCTTTTAAAGTCTAATCTTTATCTTAGGGTTTCTTCCTCCTCTAGACATCATTGGTGTGTGTCTTGTCAAAGCTCAAACAGAACAGTGGAGCTCCTTATGCTTGGACAAAGGTTCTAAGAAATTAAGCCTTTTGCTTAGCCTCCAGGAAGGTGAGAGTATATTTGTCTGCCACATAATTCGGAGAGTTTTCCCACTGGAATTCCTAGGCCTTCGCTGAACCATTTGCTGACAAGAATTCCCTACTTGAACCATGACTGTTTCCACTGGCTTGATGCTGTCTCTGCCCTAGGATTGGCTGCTCCTCATTTGTTCACTGGAGAAGTCCAGTAGGTCCTCAAATAACATTGTTTTGTTCAACATCGCTTTGTTATAATGTTGATGAGATGCCATAGGAACTCAAATCTTGTTTATGTCAATTAGCCTATGGTAAAATTGGATTTGTTATACATCGTTTTTCTTAAAGTCACAGACCTGTTGCTAATGTTACGTGAGGACTTACTGTATTTATTGAGTGCTCATGTGCTGAACAGTGACCTGGGTGCTGGAGACAGAGGAACAGAGCCGAAAGGATAATTTCAGAGAGCCTGGTTTATAGAGAAAATAAACCAGGTGACGGTGGGGAGGGAAGGGCCAAGATGGCGGCTGTGAGCAATGACATTGGAGCAGAGCCTGGTAGTGAGTTGGGAAAGGATGACCCAGGCAAGGGGGACGGCAAGTGTCTAGGTGCGGAGACCTGTGAGCCTGGTGAGTTCGAGTGAGGGATAGAATATCAGGTCTTTATGTCAGGGGCACATGAGATGGCAGAGGCAGGCGGGGGCCCGGTCACCTGGGGTCTTTGCAGGCTAGAGGTTCCCTCGTGGCATTTATTCTAATTACTTTGGGGAAAATGCAGTTAAAATCATTGCAGTGCTTTAAATGGGAACGTGCTGTGACCTCTTGTACACTTGACAGCACTCCCTCCCAGGTAGGCTGCTTGTTGAGAGCGCCACTCCAGTTAGTGACTCGGCACAGCTGGGGGTGGTAGAACCTCTAATAACTGAACCCTAATAAGTGCTCTTCATCTCATCCTGATATTCTTTGCTGTGGGCATGACAAACAGTTCCCACCAAGGGCTAAATTTCAATGAGCTCTTCAGATAGTGGCTTTTCATGGCTTGCCAACTTTAAAGCCAACATTAATAAGTGTTTATATAGCTCGTTCTCCAGATCACAAATCAGTTTGTTTCTGTCACACTGTCCCGAGCTGAGAGTCACTCTTTGCTCGGTCTTGCCAGGCACTGCATTCACTCATCCCAGTCCTGGCATGGCTGCCTCTTCAATCCCCCTTGTCTTTCTTCCCAAGCCCTGACCCATTGTTTTTTCCTGTTTGGAGCTTTCTCTTTTAGATTCCACATATACCTCAGCCAAATATTTGAAGTTTTGGAGACTGACGCTTATCATTTTACCCAGAAGCTCAGAGGACTTCTCTGTGTCCTGGCCAACAGAAAGGATACTAAGCCTTTGGCTGCAACAGAAACAGTGTACCTGGTATGACAGGGATGTAACAGAAACCATTTTTAAAAATGACTCAGTTTGGAGATTTTTCCAGACTTTCCTGCCCTGAAAAATCTTTCCAGTGGACAATAATGAAATCGTCTTGTCACTTGGCAGATACTGCCTAACAGGCCTTTGTTCTGAAGAATTGGAGAGCATGTGTTGGGGACCGCACCAACTGACTAAACCTCTTTTGGTCTTTATTTTCCTTAGGCAGTCCCGATGCGTGCTCACAGTAGTGCGAGCGGCATTCAGATGTAGGTTATAGTGAAAATAAGATGGTTTCATAGGTTACAGAGTAAAAGAGTTTTTAAGTTCATCAACCAGGCTGCAAGCCATTTGTCGAGTACAATTTAGCCAATGGTATAGATAAAGGGAAACTTCGGAGAGGGGGAATAGAAGTAATAGGATAAATATTTGGATGTTAGAGCTGGAAGAGAGCTTAAGGATAATTTAGCAAAACTTCCACATTTATTGGAAAGGAAATGGAAGCTTGGAGAAGTCAGGGACCTGCCTGAGGCAAAAAAGCTAGCCAGTGGTCAAGCTGGGACAAGACGCTGGTGCTCCTGCCCACAGAAACTCTTTTTAATTAGCAGTGAACAGCGCCAGATGTCCCAGACAGGAAATGCAAAACTCCGAGTGGACGGGGACCTGCTGCAGCCTCCCCTCCTTCCTTTCATCAAAGCACCTATGTAAACGACAAGAATGAATCATGAAAAAGAACTATTAAAATAGGTCCCAAAACCATTCCCAGAATTACCTCAGCCAAAAACATATAAGCAGTTTTTTTAAAAAGTCTTTCTGCTTCGGCCAGTATATTGGAAATTTACTTGCAAAGGAAAAGATTGAGCAGGGCCAGGTTTTGCTTTTTAAAGACAGTCACTGCTTGGATGGCCTCTCGGCAGCCCTGCAGCCTGGCAGCACTGAAGATGCTTTTTGGAACAGTTTGGTTTTAAAAGAGCTTCAAGATGAATGGACAGAGTCTTTCTTCGCAACCTGGACTCTTAGTACCCTTTTCCTCAGCAAGCGAGAGTCAGCAGAGCCAGAGTCACAGGCTGAAGTTTCAGGTTTTCCTTTTATTCCCTGAGGGAGTCCTGTTTGTGTGCTCTGCCAGGGCAGCTGAATTCTGAGTTGTTCTCTATCCCTTTTCTCAACTTCCTGAGCCCTTTGCTGGCTCCTTGCCCAGGCCTGTGCGAGGGGCCGAGGCCTCCAATTCTCGCTGGCACTGGTGTTGGGCCAGACACGTAGGTGGCTTTTCCATGGCACTGCTCAAAAACTTGCTCTCCAGTGTGTGTGTGTATGTGTGTGTGTGTGTTTTCATACCTACACCCTAGAAACATTCCAGTCAGAAGTGCCAAAAATCACAAGGGCCCATTTTGGGACGGTGAGTTGACTATTTCTAACCATCTGAAAGGACTCGAATTCACCTGCATTTCCCACACAGGGTTGTGACTCTTGATCAGTGCTGGGATGGGCTCCCTTTCAACATTGCTCAGGCGAGGCTGTGAATACTCTCTATTTGTTGTTATCCACTCTGTCCTTCCTCTTCAAATGACAGTGCTTTCCCTGCAGGTCATAAAGAAGGAAACTGGATTTTGGAGAGACTTTGGATTTGGGATGACATGTCAGTATCGGTCAGACTTCATAAATATAGGTAAGACACGTGGACTTGCGACAAATCCGCATCTTTACTGCCACCCAGAGGCCAGTGAGTGGCCATGCAGGAATCGGGTCAGGTTCCAAGGAGTCTGGTGGCAAAGGTGGTGCCACTTCCCAAGAAAAAGATGTTTCTCTTGTCATGGACTTGGGGCTGGACCAAGAGGGGGCTTTGGAGTGTGCGGCACTTCAGCCCCTGTAATCTCCACCAGCACCTCTCATTCGTGCACAGTGTGAGGGAAAACAGCAGCATAAAGGCAGCTTCTACGCAAATCCTCCAAGGCTGCCTTCTCACCTGGTCAGGCTCCTGCACCCTCTCGTTTCGAACATCATGGGCTTCCACAATAGGGGGAATCCATTAAAAAATAAGGGCAACAAAATAAGGGGAATTTTGGAAAATCATGTACCAGAGAAGATTTAAATTTCTCTCTGCTAAAACTTTGAGAATTCCAGATGTCACTTCAAGCTCTAAGTATACAGTTGCTGTCGCAGATACACGCACACACATGCACGCATGCATGCACACATATATGTACACACAGGCTCTCAGTGCACAGAGAGGAAAGGTCCGCAGGTTGCAGTTGAAGAGGCTGAGGCTTCAGAGGCAGAGGGACCTCACAGCAGGTGAGGGACATGGTCAGGGTGAGAATAGAGTCACCTGACCCCTTGGAAATTCCATACCACTTCCTATGGTGCTGCTTATTCGTGGGCGTCTGAAGGGAGTAGAACTGTGAATTCCACATGGCTAGGGAATGAATGAACAGGTCAGAAACCTTGACCTGGGGCTCAGGGTTCGGGGTTTGGGGCGGACCCTGAGCCAAGGTGGAGTCAGGGAGGCCCTGCCTCACACGGCACGGAGATTCCCATTCCCACCAGCTCCCTGTGGGTCTCCCAGAGTCTGCTCATTGTATTCTCTCTGGGTCGACTCTACCGCTGGCCCGAGGCCTAAAGCTTCTCTTTTTAAGATCAGTGGGTCTATCTGAGCAGCCCCAGGTTTTTGTCCAGGGGTGATGTGGTCTACAGCAGCGGTTCCCAACCTTTTTGGCACCAGGAACTGGTGCTCCTATGAGAATCTAATGCCTGATGATCTGAGGTGGAGCTGAGGCGGTGATGCTGGAGCTGGGGAGTGGCTGCATATACAGATGAAGCTTCACTTGCTCACTTTCCACTCACCTCCTGCTGTGCAGCCTGGTTCCTAACAGGCCATGGACCTGTACCTGTCCGTGGCCTGGATGTTGGGGACCCCTGGTCTACAGAGACTACAGAACCCTCACAGAAATCACGGGGAAGGAACAACTTGAAGTTAGGTCCAGTAAGAAGCAGCAGAGCACTCAGGATGTTGATGTGAGTGGTGGGTTCCCTCAGATACAGAGCAGTGAACCACGAGTGTTCTTTGATTCCTCTAAGAGATAATCCTAAATGATTATGTGCAAATCAGATCTCCCAAAATGACATATTTTCTTAAACTTTTTAAAGGAGACTTCCATTTCAAGAAACTGTTTTCTTGCTCTGTGTACAAGAAAAGATTATTTTGTGATGATGGATGTTTATCTAATTTGGGTTTATAGTATATTTTTTTTTTCTAAAGATAGGGCACAGCTATAATTGAAAAACGTGGGAATGGTAAGCTGGGAAAGGTGCTCTTCTTCAGTAAGCCATTGCCATAACATTAGAATGAACCTTTGGGTCACATCTATACCCCAGTCATTCTTTGCAATCTTATATTTATCTGCAAGCATCTTACTTGAGCACCTTCTGTTTAATAAGTTGTAATGATACCGATGGGAATAATAAACTCGTTATAGCTAACCACGCACTGCCCCTTACACTGTTGTCTCATTCGGTTATGACACCTCCTTCATTTCTGGATAAAGAAATCAAAGCTCAAGAGAGGTAAAATGGCAGCTTGGATGAGAACCAAGACTCAAATTTCAGACCCTTGACTCAGAATGGTACAACTTTCTTTGCCTACACAAGGGGGCCACAGGTCACTCTGTATACATAGCCCGGGGGTTGGGGGTGCGTAGTTTTCCCTCTGTGAGCTCCCACTTCCGGTCCCAGCAATAACTTCCATCAGAGCAGTGCAGCTTGGGAGCTTCAGGGGACGAAGGAGCTACATAAAGACTCTGAAAAAAAAATGTTCAGAGTCACTTCACTGTTTCTTATAAGGTTTGGACAAATCTTTTAGATGAGAAAGGAATGATGACCAAAAAAAAAAAGGCCAGTTTTTCTTTGGGCTTTAGGTTAAGAAAAGACATTGAGGGGTGTGTGCATCTCAATTTACAAAGACGAGAGTTAAGGCAACCATTACTCACTTTGTGAAGGAGTCCATGATAAAGTGAAACAAGGTTTTCTGAGCAAAACTTCAGAACTGACTATGAGGCCAGTCCCTTAACATAACTCATTTCACCAGCCTGTGGTAGACTCACAGCTTTTCAGGACCACTTTAGTCTCTGAAAGGAAGAATGCTTTTATGGGATGTGATTTTTTTTCACACTAAGATCCTGTTTTACTCTCTCCTGCTGCATGCCTCTTGTTTATTCCATTTGAAATGGCAGGGGGAGGTCACATTTATATTGAAACACATGAATTTTCATTCGGAGGTTTAAGGTTGAAAAGTTGGGATGCTGTTGTAGCTTTTAGTCTCAGGCTAGGGCTGATCGTTAGCATTGCTGATAGTTCTTGAAAGCAGGCAAATGCTGGAGATTCTGTTTGCAGCCTAGTTATCTCCAGGAGTTAGTGCTGGCTACCACGAAGTTCTCTGTTCGAGAACTCTGAGTTCTCAGACCCGGATAGACATACGTAATTAGGAGTGGTGGTGAAACATATCTCCCTTAAACACGTCTTCTCTTCGTGCAAAGTTCTGTGCTAGTGCAGCTCAAGAAAGAAAGCAAACATAGATCAGGAGATGCGAGCACAGCTTGATTCAGCAGTGTGTTCTCTCCTGACAGGTGGGTTTGATTTGGACATCAAAGGCTGGGGTGGAGAGGACGTGCATCTCTACCGCAAGTACCTGCACAGCAATCTCATAGTGGTGCGGACACCTGTGCGAGGACTCTTCCACCTCTGGCATGAGAAGCGCTGTGTGGACGAGCTGACCCCCGAGCAGTACAAGATGTGCATGCAGTCCAAGGCCATGAACGAGGCCTCCCACGGGCAGCTGGGGATGCTGGTCTTCAGGCATGAGATAGAGGCTCACCTTCGCAAACAGAAACAGAAGACAAGCAGCAAAAAAACATGAACTCCCAGGGATAGATTTGGGGAGATGTTTCATTTTTTTTTCCTTTTGCAATTACCAGACAAGTGGCTGCAATAAGGAAAAGATTTCCATAAAAGATTAAAAAAAAAAAAAAGAATTTGACTGATTAGTAAGAGAGGAGGGAGACAGAGCTTCCAATTTCTGCCTATTTGGCTTTTATGCAACAGGAATTGAAATCTCCCACTTTTGCCTGCAAAAGTAGCCCAAATGCATCCATGCAGTGTCTGACAAAGGCAGAATGATTGTGAGATTATAAGCCTGATAGCTTATAAGGGTTGTTTTGATTGTGTTTGCAGCAAAGTGAATCTATTGTTTTCTATGCTCACTGAAATCTTAATTAAGATCAGTTTTATAGAAGGGTCATTACATGAAAGGCGAGCAGATATCACCCCATATGAATGATTATTTCAGTAGGACTCTTGTGTCTAGGAATGCTAAAATATCAGATGGCAGGTGAGGAGACCATGTGAAATTCAAAGATACCCTCATTACAATCCTCGTGAGTATATTAAGCAAAACCAAATGGACTCAAACAGAAAAGAAACCATAACTATTATGTAATCTGCCCTATAGATTAACCAAAAATAATCTGCTCGTCTTCTGGTTGTAGTTTTAACCATCTCTATTTGTTAATTTTATTTAAAAATGCACTTTTTTTTTGCTTATGAGTTGTATTTTGCTTATTTAATGACCAATTTGCAAGCCTTACTAAGAGAGCACAAGTTAGCATACACTTTTATATTTTTTAAGACGATACTTTCAGATGCAGTATGAGAACTTTCAATTCAGAGCATCAGATCGATACTCAAATCCGAGGACATGCCAAATGCTGACCCTGTCAAGCACCGAATGCCAAACCTTCATCAAGGTTTGGGGCCACTGATGGATTGAGACATAGATATATTTTACCAAACCTTCATCAAGGTTATGCCAAACCTTCATCGAGGCCGGCACGGTTTGGGGCCACTGATGGATTGAGACATAGATATATTTTACCCGAAGAGTATTTCCGAAGAAGAGCAACTGAAAACTCAACACTGGACGGAAAGAGAAATATACTTTTTACCTTAACAGAAAAAGAAACTCATTCAGACTGGTGGTATCTCGATTTATTCAAAAGTCAGAAAACACATTTGCTCCTCAGAAGAACCAGGGACCACTTTCTTACCTGTTTAAATAAACCAAAGTATACTATATGAATCAAACAATCTTTTTTCAAAGCAGGGTGCTCTTCCTGGCTTCTGGCTTTCATGAGAAGAATCGGAGAAAAATGAATTTTGTGAAAGATCACTCCATCTGCCGGGGTCTAGTGGGATGGAAGATTTTGCTACATGTTCACCCACCCCAGTCTAGGGGGAAGTAACTTGATTATTTTTTAAATTAAGTAGTTCTACTCAGTCACCAAGATGCTTCTGAAAATTGCATTTCATTAAAGTCTCCAACTATTAAAAAAAAATAAATATAGTTAACATTGAGTGGTTTCTACATTCATGAGAAAATTATTTATTTACTAGCCAGTACCAGATGCATGAGCTAATTATCGCTCTGATTACTTATTTTCTGTTTGCCCACAGTCAATTCATTTTTTTAAAGGCTTCAAGAACATTCAAGCTGTTGGAGTGTAAAAAAAATGCATTGTATTGATTTGTATAGGTATTCGTAAAATTTAATTAAAACACAGGACATGAATGGAAAGTGGCATTGGACAGCTAATAAAATGTGATTTGTGGATATGATTTCTTCCTGGAGTAATAATGCCATGTCTTTAGTTTTTTGAAAATAACTTTTTGTGCATAAATCAGGGTTTCTCGACCTTGGTATTGTGTACATTTTGGACTGGCTTTTTCATTGTCATGGGGGTTGTCCTGTGCACCGTAGGATATTTAGCTGCATCCCTGGCCTCTGCCCACTGGGTGCCAGGAACCTCTCTAACCAGGCTGACAATCGAAATGTCTCCAGTCATTGCTAAGTGTCCCCAGGAGGGCGAAACCACCCCTGGTTGAGGACCACTGGTCTAGAGGGAAAAGAGAACCATAATGATAAACTTGGCCATTAATACAATTTACTTGTCTTTTTAATTAGAAGAAACTAAGAAATGATTTCTAAGGCTTCTTTTGACTCTAATTGTTTCATATTTTCACATTCAGTGTTGATACTAGAGATTCATGGCATATATCTAGTCTGTCTCTCCACTGGTTCTGATGGATTTGTGGGACTGACCTGCACATTCCTGCCTGTCTCCTCCCTGAGTCAGGAGGACGCATTTCCAACAAGGCCGGTGGCAGCAAGCAACTGTTCTGACCGTAGAGTTAGGCAGGTCTAAGCGTCCCACAGGTGATGCGGTCCCAGGCCATTTGTGCTTGTTTAAATTGCGTATCACAGATGCCTGAAACCATGGTTAAAATTTGGGTTTTAGAAGTAGCTGAAAAGAAGAAGAAACAGCATGATATTAAACTGTTTCTCTCTTTTTAAAGCTTAGTCAGATAAAATAGTTTTATCAAAAGGTAGCAGTTTTATCAAAAGGTAGTACCCTCCACCCTGCACCCCAAATTCCAGCCAAGTGTTAACTACCAGGGATGCAGCTAAATATCCTCTTAAAGCACATGCAAGAGGGGATCTGTCTTAGTTTGGGCTGCTATATCATAAACCGGGTGGTTGATTTCTCGAGGTTCTAGAGATGAGGAAATCCAAGGCCAAGGCTCTGGCAGATCTAGTATCTGGTGAGGGCTGTTCTCCCTGTATCCTCACATGGCTGGGAGCAGACAGAGGGCTACTCTCCTCCTGATCTTAAAATGGCACTCATCCCATCATGGAAGCTCCACTTACATGAAATAATTACCTCTCACAGGCCCCTATCTCCTGATAACATCACATTTGGGCTTCAACATATGAATTTTGTGGGGTTACATTCAGTCCATAGCAGAACCTATCCTCATTCCCTCCCCAAGATGTATATGAAAGAAGGACTGGCGAAGGCCCCACCGAAAAATAATCAGGGGCTTGAAATTTAGCCTTAGATAGCCAAGGAAAGCAGTAATGAACCTGCGGCCTGAAGGACCCAGGCACATCGCATCTTCTGAAGGAAAGATCTTGTCAAGGAAGCACTGAGTCTTAGGCTCGTGTTAGGTCCCTTCCAACTCTCTGCATCCTCTCTATGTTCTTAAATCACCTAGTAACTAGCCCCAGTCATCTCACTGGAGCTGGGGTCGCTAATATAAACCTCAGTTCTCCAAGTAGCAGCGTGCTGACTCGGCCTTGTGAGAGCCAATTGTTAGCTCCTCTTCCCACTCCTGAATAAGTAATGGCCATGGAGGAGTATTTACACCATGGAAATTGGCAAAGGCTACACACCAGGACTCCCCAACTCACCCTCCACCCTGCACCCCAAATTCCAGCCAGGTGTTAACTACCAGCACTCCATTGCCTCTAATCAACATAACCTATTCTTGTGCCCAGTTTTCCCTCTAGTCGTCTACTTTCTATTCCCTCCTTTGTAGTCATAAATGTGGCGAATTTGCTTCTCTCCATACATAAGCGATGAGAGAATCAGGCCTAGGAATTTTCGAAAGGTAAACAACTTCACACAGCCTCATTTTTAAGATTTTGCATGAGCCAAGTAGACATAATGTACAATCCTGAAAAGTAAGAAAATTGCTACCCAGAACCTAATTTTAATAAATTTTGTTTCAAGGAAAATCTTCCAATGTTATCTAAACTTAATATCATGGCTTCTCCAGCCACACCGCTGGAGAATTCTACTTCTTACACTTGCCACCTATATCTTAAACCAGCCACTCAGCGTCTCTGTACCCATTTCCTCATTCAGAGTGATGAATGCAATCATGTCTATAATCATGATTGTTATGAATATTGAGTTAATATGTATGAAGTCCTTGGGACATGTCCGGCACGTGGCAAGTATTCGTGTCCAGCTGTTTTGCAACGCCAATTCCCCATGGCCAGCACCTTTTGGGAATAATCAGAAGACCATTGTGGGTCACACACTAAAGATCACGAACCATCATGTGCACTGTTTCCTTTATTTCTGTCATTCTGAAAACAATGTCAATCTGAAGAAGGGTTATTAGGAGTATAAAACAGATAATTTCTCCCTAATGTCAATCTGAAGAAGGGTTATTAGGAGTGTAAAACAGATAATTTCTCCCTAATGTCAATCTGAAGAAGGGTTATTAGGAGTGTAAAACAGATAATTTCTCCCTAATGTCAATCTGAAGAAGGGTTATTAGGAGTGTAAAACAGATAATTTCTCCCTAATGTCAATCTGAAGAAGGGTTATTAGGAGTGTAAAACAGATAATTTCTCCCTAATGTCAATCTGAAGAAGGGTTATTAGGAGTGTAAAACAGATAATTTCTCCCTAATGTCAATCTGAAGAAGGGTTATTAGGAGTGTAAAACAGATAATTTCTCCCTAATGTCAATCTGAAGAAGGGTTATTAGGAGTGTAAAACAGATAATTTCTCCCTAATGTCAATCTGAAGAAGGGTTATTAGGAGTGTAAAACAGATAATTTCTCCCTAATGTCAATCTGAAGAAGGGTTATTAGGAGTGTAAAACAGATAATTTCTCCCTAATGTCAATCTGAAGAAGGGTTATTAGGAGTGTAAAACAGATAATTTCTCCCTAATGTCAATCTGAAGAAGGGTTATTAGGAGTGTAAAACAGATAATTTCTCCCTAATGTCAATCTGAAGAAGGGTTATTAGGAGTGTAAAACAGATAATTTCTCCCTAATGTCAATCTGAAGAAGGGTTATTAGGAGTGTAAAACAGATAATTTCTCCCTAATGTCAATCTGAAGAAGGGTTATTAGGAGTGTAAAACAGATAATTTCTCCCTAATGTCAATCTGAAGAAGGGTTATTAGGAGTGTAAAACAGATAATTTCTCCCTAATGTCAATCTGAAGAAGGGTTATTAGGAGTGTAAAACAGATAATTTCTCCCTAATGTCAATCTGAAGAAGGGTTATTAGGAGTGTAAAACAGATAATTTCTCCCTAATGTCAATCTGAAGAAGGGTTATTAGGAGTGTAAAACAGATAATTTCTCCCTAATGTCAATCTGAAGAAGGGTTATTAGGAGTGTAAAACAGATAATTTCTCCCTAATGTCAATCTGAAGAAGGGTTATTAGGAGTGTAAAACAGATAATTTCTCCCTTCAATTCCATGCTCAGTAATTTGGAGCTGATGATTCCACAGGCTGTTGAGAGGCATTAGAGGTTTTTGAAGTAAGGAGCATAACTAGGCACCTTTTGTATGTACATGATGCTAATCTTCCAAGGTAAGTAATATTGTTACTTCCATTTCTCAGGTGCAGAAAACCAAGGCTTGGAAATGGTAAGGCACTCACCCAGAGCTCCAGGCTCACACATCATTTTCCCATCCTTGCCAGCTTCAAAAGGCTTGAAGGTCATGTTGGGTGGAGGGGGCAGGAACTTTGGTCTGGGCCGAGTCCAGAGCCTGTCCTCTTGAACCGCTGTTTCCCACTGTTTCTCTACTCTCCAGCCCCACCTGAGGAATCCCCTGACAATGGATGAGCACTTAACAGTGATTCAGGAACACCGAAGCAAGCTGGCCGCCACCCGCCAGCTGCTGTGCAATTTTCAGTGGGCTTGGAGCTCTGAAGCCTTGGAAGCTGGTTCTCAGGCAGGATCCCAAGGCATTAGGCTTAAAGACTGCCTTGAGTAGGAGGGGAAACAGGTGGGAATATTTGCTTTTTGAAAAAGATTTGACATTGTTTCTGAGAATTGATAAAGCCCTTGGGCGGTCCCTCAGCTGGGTGGGTGTGTTTTACTCCAACACCCATCAAATAACTGGCAGCTTTGTATGATCTGTGTTCTGATTAGCTTTATATTTGAATTCAAAGCTGTTTCTCCTGGCAGGACTCAATGCTTTGCTCTTGCTGCCAAAATCTGTGGGGACTGTGCCAGTTGGTTGGGGGTATTTGGGTGGTGGTTATTTCAACACAGAAAATGTTCTCTCAATCAGCAGAGATGCCTTTCAAAATATCTGCATTACTGATCCTTTACACATGCCCTCTGGAGTACTCAACCCCAGTGCCATGGGCTGTGTCTGCCTTGTCTGCTCTCCTCAGGGAGGGCATGCAGGTGGCGCCCTGGGGGGAGAAGCTGGCGCCGTACCGCCTTAGGGCCGTCTCCATCCACAGTCATTCAGGGGTTCAGGGAGAGCCAGGGCACCTTCAGCAGCCTCCGTCCAAGGCTCATCAAATGTCAGGACTCATCAAATGTCATTTGTCTGGTGTCTGGCTATGCAGGTGGCCTGCGGGCTACGGATAGTCCTCAGGTGGGATACTTGGGGAACTGGACTGACTCTTCATCCACCTAAGAGTCAGACACGTTAGCTTGAAATGCGGGGAATACAGTACTGCTGCCCACTCCCTCGATCTCAGCCGTTAATCCTGCAGTTTCTCATCCCCCACCAGCCCAGGACCCAATCACCCTCCAACTCCAGTGTTTAAAGAACAACAGTAAACATCACATGGTCTGCTAAGATGTGAAACCTCATCTGAAAAGGTTAAGAAAAATAAATAAAAATAGAAAAATAGAAAACAAACAGTAAAAGCCTCAAATTAAAGTCAAAGGAAGACTGAAGGAAAAAATATGTATAACTAGTTTTCCTTCTAATTATTAGCCTCAAATGGAGCTGAGTAAAAATTATACCCATAGTATGTGGGGCTGTCAGGAAAGGTAGGGAGTAGCTTGGTTGGAAAGCCTTCCTACGGTTCTGTCACAGCACCGAGAGCACCCCCAAAAGATAAGGTGCTGGCCATGTTTGCTGTTGAGGACATGCAGTGGAAGGCTACTGTGATCTTAACTCAGGTGGTGGGAAGACTTCTTGAAGGAACACCCTTTCAACTGAAGAAAAGTAAAAGCTGATTTAGACTGATGAGGGTTAACAGGGTCTTGCCCACTCCCTGGCAATCTGGCTTAGCATTGGAACTGCCTGACCTATTTGGGAGATAAGGCAGAATTAATCCCAAAGAGGTCTGGGTTTGTAATTATTTTTGTGGTTAAAAAGGGAGGAGTTTTGTGATCAGAAATCCCAGAGCAACTATCATTTTTTCAATGGCTAATTTCGGGGTAAAGACTGGTCACTGCTAATGGGAGTTGTAAAAATCAGGCATTAGAGAATGCTCTTTCCATGCTATTTAAAACACAAACTAAGTGAGCCATTTCTATGCAAGTCAACTGGCTAATACCTCGTGTGATCCCTCATTATATCCCTTACTCTTTAAAGTTTCCCTTTCCCTCTTAAAATTCATCCCAGAAACTCTTAACAAATGGGCCATTAGTCTACATAGGCCATTGGTTATATAAGCTGAGTTGGGGGAGCATGGAGTGCATGGACCCTGGCTTTGCTGGACCATGATTAACTAAGAATAACTACCATTTGTGGAGAGCTTTATATATGTCAGGCACTTTACATGTTTTTTTTCTAAGCCTCAGAACCCAACAAGTGACTTCAGTAACTCCTGTTTCAGAGACGAAGCAGCTAAAACTCAGACAAGCTTAGTATTTTCCTTTTCTTTTAAGAGGAGTTCACACAGCTGGTTAATGATGTAACCAGGATCCCAACCTACACCTGCTGGGCTCACTCTCTACTACATCCAGTTACCTCATTACCAAATAATGTGTTTTTACCACAGAATAAAAAGAGGACACTTTGTCATTTAAGCCTCACGATAGTTTTCAATCTGGGGCAGCAGTAGGAAGTCTAAAGATCCCTGCAAAGGGAGACAGGGAAGCATAGCAAGTATACTAGAAATAGAAGGACAGTTGACTTTTGAACAACGTGGGTTTGAGCTGCATGGGTCCACTTATACGTGAATTTTTGTCAATAAATATTGTAAATTTATTTTCTCATGATGTTCTTAATAACATTTTTATTTTTCTAGCTTTATTATGACCACAGTATATAAAACATATACAAAATATGTATTAATCGACTGTTTATGTCATCAGCAAGGCTTCTACTCAGCACTCAGCTATTAGTAGTTTTGAGGAGAGTCTAAACATGGTTTTTGATGATGTAGGGGATCAGCGCCCCGAACCCTCACGTTATTCAAATGTCAGCTGTACCAAAATCCACACAGGAAGCAGTCAAAGCAGAATTAACACTGCGGAAGATTTAATCTGGGATGTGGAAAGGAAAGAGATGAGAAGTTCTCCTAAAATGTAATGGAAAATGTGGAGAGATGAAAGCAATGAGGATGAGATCACAAAAATGGAAGGCAAAGAAGAGAAGTCTAAGTAGGATTTACAGCTACTCTTGAGGAAGGGAAAACACATTTCAAACAGACGTATTAGCTAAAGATGTAGAAAACGTATGTCCCTCCCAACCCCCGCTCCCCCCAAAAAAGACCTATGCAACGCAGTCTGAATTAAAGCATTTGCCACATTCTTGACAAAAATAAAAGTGAAGAGGCCCCCTGGGGATGCATTCAAGCATATCCTAACAACTATTTCTGTCTTTATGCACCAAATGGTAGGAATCCCACGGTATATGTGTGTGAGGGCCATGACACCTGTTTGGACTCTAGTGCATGAAGAAAGCTACCTCTACAGAAGGTGGCAATTGCAAAAATTTAGGCCATGAATTTTTTCTTTTTCAGACTAACAACAGATTTCCTGCCACATTAGCACATGCCATTACTTTATACCAAGAAGATGGTTTATTCCAAAGCGTTAGCTCAAATAGGCAATTTTTCATAGAAATGACCTCGAGATATTTTTAGTGGCCTGCTCGTGCCCCATTTTCACTTTTTCTTCTTCCTCTTGATATTTTTTCTTCTTAATTGTCCCTGTGTTTTCCTTCTTCTTTATAAGGTGTGAACCTACTAACACTTCTCGACAGTGCTTAGCACTGCTAGTGACACTGAGGGACGAAGTAACTTCCTTGTGCATCCTACTGCAGCAGGGTGAGGCAGGAGACCAGAACCAGGGGATGTACAGGTGACCTGACGTGGGTCTGAAGGGTATGTGAGGGTCTTGCAATAGGGAGGTGGTAGCCAGAGAGTCTAGGATGACTGTAAGCGGAGATTCCAGAATCTTACTGAGGGAGAAAAGAATCAACATGGTCAGGGAGTGGCATTTGCTCACAGTCCCAAAGAGGTAGGCAGGTTGGAGTACCTGGGATTGGGGAACATGACATAACATGAGGGGACATCCCCGACCAAGATACCTTGGGCAGGCAGGTCATGGTGCTGGGCTTGTTAAGGCAACAGAAGGAGGGGAGCACAGCCAAGATTTGGACAGCATCACCTTAGGCCATAAGTAGAGTCAGACACAGGGAGACTGAGTCTAATGGAGCTATGATGAGAATTCAGGCCTCTTCAACCCCCTTTAGTTGTAATCAGTTTCTGAATTCTGTAAACCATTCTCCTTCTCTAAGAATTTCCAGTATTACTCCTCGCCATCATATCAAACACTGTCAACAACTAATAAGATAAAATAGTACAGAACTCAAATCTGCTTTTCCTTATAATATTAGGTTAATTCAGTCAGGCCATTTCCTGTTTTCTAAATCTTCCTCCAATAGGACGTCACTTAGTGTAGTTATATCTGGATGCAACTGTAGTTATTTTCTCCAAAATAATTGTAGGCAGAGGGTGATGCTGGAATCTTATGTTTTCATAATTACTAGTGACTATAGTGTACTTTTCTATTCATTCCCAAACCTTATTTCAGAGCTAGATGAAAATAATAAAAGTCTTGTAGTTAAAACACTGAGTTTCATTATAAGTGAAAACGGAGGTCCACAGACGGAAAGGGCCCTGCCTGAGATCACACTGCTAGTGGTAGGAAGAGATGGGAACAGAGTAGAGGCTTCTGACTTCCAGCCCTGTGCTGTCTGTGCAGTTCTGTAATGTCATGACTGATGAATCATGGTGAGAAACAAAAGCTGACAGATCCTTTTAGACAATTGTCTAATTGACAGTTATCCCTCACACAATAGAAACCATATGGAACATTTCAAGAAACACATAACAACAATCTGTGTTTAAAACTTTCTCATTATAGCACACATACATACCCATGAATACTCACACGTATACAGGCGCCCCGCCCTCTTCTCTGGTTACATTTCATACTGTCAACAAGTGTTCTATACAACCGACCAACTCATGAACAAACTGCTACCACCTTCTGCTCCCTTTAAAAGAGTGCCGACATAGGGATAGGCCTGAAGTATGAGTAAATCTCCACCTTCCCAGAAGATTATCTCAGTGGCTCAGAAACTCTTGGATCAGGCCGTCTCCTTTACTGGGGCTGGAGGTTGGGGGTGGGGTGAAGTGGGCATAAGGTTTCTAACTGAGCAAATCTTAATCCCAGAGCTGAACAGAGCCAGTGGGAGGCTATTCTCATTTCCCATTTTTCCTTCATTATGAGGAGGGCGGTATATAATGCACATAAGTTTCTGTAATTACATACACTTCTGTATTAGTTTCCTAAATCTGTAGTAACAAATTACCGTAAACTCGGTGGCTTAAGAAAACAGAAATTTATTCTCTCGTAGTTCTGGAGGCTAGAAGTCTGAAATCAAGGTGTCGGTGGGCCACGTTCCCTTCTAAGGCCCTGGGGAGAATCTGATCCATGCCGCTCTCCTAGCTTCTGGTAGTTGCCAGCCATCCTTGGCGTTCCCCGTCTTTTGCAGCTGCATCTCTCCCATCTTCTCTGTGGTCCCAAATCCCCCTCTCCTTATAGGGATGCAAGTCACTGATTCCGGGCTCACCCTGACCTAGTATGGCCTCATTTTAACTTGACTACACTGGCAAAGACCCTGTTTCCAAATGAGGTCACAGGCACAGGCATGGGGGTCAGGACTTCAACAACATACCTTTTTTGGGGACACAATTCAACCCACAAGTGGTAGTACCCACAACTCACTGTTCTGTCCTTGTCTGTCACCACTAACAAGCAGCATTCCAAATGAGGTCACAGGCACAGGCATGGGGGTCAGAACTTCAACAACATATCTTTTTGGGGGACACAATTCAACCCACAAGTGGTAGTACCCAAACAACTCACTATTCTGTCCTTGTCTGTCACCACTAACAGCAGCTCCCAAGACCCTAGGCGCTGTCTCCTCCGTGCTCTCTGGGGTGGCGCCGAGGCGGACAGGGCATGTGCCGTCCTGATGCTCCAGAGCGAGAACACGCTCGCTTTCCCAGTCTGCAGTATCGTACATGTTACGCCTCTCATCCTACATTTTAAAACTCATTCGATTTACATTCCCAACTTTGTTATTCTATGTTTCTTACATCCTGATTCCAAAATGCACAATAAATGAAGTGTGTTTCGAGGTTCATCTCAGTCATCAGTAAAGGCTTATTTTCCAGCTTCCCAAAGCCAGCATAGAACTTCATATAAACAGGACCCTGAGACTTTTGAGATGATGTAGTTCCCACATGCTACTGGTGTTGGAAGTATATCTTCATTCCTAAAAAGTTTCAATTTCTTCTTTGTTCATTTTATCTCGCATACATCATTAAGGTTGTCTCCTTCATGTTAGGTAGTTGCTGAAATTGGGGATCATCTCCCTTTACTTTTGGAGTGTATACAATGCAGAGGTGATTTTCTCTTAGCATTAAACTTCAGCATCTGTGCAGAAGAGATTTCCATAGGACTCCAAGGTTACTTTCAGTTGATCAGAATTGGCTCTGCTACAGGGTGATTTTGGCTTCACACACACATGTCCATTTCAGCGCTGTTTGTCCAGAGGAAAGCCCAGCTGGAGGCCGCAGAGTGACACGATGGGGGCTGTCACGCAAAGAGCTCCAGGTAGTCGGGAGTCTGGTCCTGCTGACCACGTGGATACAGAAGGAGCTCCTTCCCCAGGGAAGTTATGGGTTCCTCCTGTGAATCAGACAGCATAGGTCAGGCTGGGCAGGTTGTTACAATACTATAAATAATGATGTTGTGCCATTTCCACCGCCTCAGAGTCCATAACTTCCTGCTTACTCTTGATTTACACAAAGTTTTATTGGTGGTGTACGACAATTTTAAAAGCGATTTTTCGTATCTACAAACTGCCATGTACTCTCCTTCCCGTGCTGAGTTCTAACTTGAGTGTTCACAGATGTGATCACTGTATGCACAGGTTTTTTAGCATCTCCTATATTCTCTGCCTCAGGGGGGTCCCCCTGAGTATATGAGGAGGAACTAGCCTCAATGATAAAGAAAATGCAATTAAGAATCCTGATTACCAGGAGGAATTATCAAAAACTAATCCCCCCATTACTTGTCTCAATCATTTTTCTTGTAATTGCTTTTCATTGTTAGAGCTGCCGCGGGACAACAGTTTGCAGAACAAATTAAGTTTGTGCATCGTCTCTCACCTTGTGATATTCCACCAGCTCGGCCAGAGTGGCATGCTGCAGCTGGTCCACGCCCAGGAAGCTGTAGGAGTCCGTGGAGGCATCTATGAGGAAATGTTTACAGCCATCCTCAGAAAGGTAGGACAGGGCATAGCCTTTGATCTTTTCACTGACTCGGATCAGAAAACTGCCTGGCACGCATGTGCTCAGAAGGTCGTTTGCTCTCTTTAGTGTGAGAATTCCTAGGGGAAAGAAAAGCAGGTATTTCAGCCAAATCATTTCCAAAACTCTTCTCTGTTAATGTAGCTATGTGGATAAAGTTTAGTAAAAATAAGCACAACATTAAGTCCATTTGGCATTTCTTAGGAATACAGGAAAATGTCATTTATCTTCTGGTATTTGGTAACCGGGCAGGGAAGGTTACATAAACAAGTGGATAGTACAAATGAGAGTATAAATGCTTAACCTTCAGAAGAACACATTTCCACTTATATACCCAGTTATAACAACACAGGGGCTAGATGGCTTCTGAGTCTGGTAGGACCCTTGGCAGTTATCGTGGGTTGTGAGATCTGGAAGGGGACTTGAAGACACGCGCCTCAGTTTATTGACAAGAATTATATGGCCTGCGGGATGATTCAACTTTATCTAGAACAGTGCTTCTCAACCATGGCAATGTCTGAGAGCCATTTTTGATTGTCATGGGCAGGGGACAGGGCTGGAGCAGGGCGAGGTGCTATTGGCATCCAGTATGTAGAGGCCAGGGATGCTGCTAAGCATCCTACAGGGCACAGGACAGCCTCACACTACAAAGAATTATCCAACCCAAAATGTCAATAGTGCTGAAGTTCAGAAATACTGGTCTAGGAGTCAGCAAGTTAGTAATACAACTAGGATGGACACAGGTCTACAAGGTGCCCTCTGCTGTAGCTGCTCTTAAATGATGCTCATTGACATAAAAGAATAAAAGTGTGTGTGTGTATCTTCATAAATATTCAAAGGAATAAAACTTCATATACACATACATATATATATATATATATACACACACACATACACACACACACACACA